TAAAGGTAGAGAGAGTTCAGTAGAGGATACGATGGTCGTTTTTAATGTACATTTAGCAAATTTAGCTAAAACGCCTCAGGTTCCTGTCAGGTTTGCTAACGTTACGTCACGTGACGCAGAAATCATAACTCTTAACATTAGCCGGTAGGTTAAATTACTGTACTGTACTGTACTATATTGATTTGTAATGTAGCAGAGTAGTGAACTGTTAGTGTAACGTGAGGTTTAGTTTCCGTGTGTAAGTCAGCTGTTTCCCGGCAGGTGAGCTGACAGTATCGGTGAGTCACTGTCGGCGCTGTTCTCTGACTTCATCAGGAATTAATGAGGTCAAGTTGGTTTTATTTTCACACATTGGGTCATTTAATGCTCTCTATATTGTTTACCACTCTATTTTGAATATCGAGTCTGAAAGAGCATTTAAATATGAATTCTAAAACAACATTAGCACTGTTTAATTGACCGTGAATAATGCTGGAATGCACTTTGATGGTCATTGACTGCTGATATGATTCCCCTATTTAGAATTTGATAATACTTTTCTGAAATGAGATTGTGAAGGAGAAAGTCTGAATGTGCGAATATAAAAACAGTTTCTGCTGTTTTAACTCGTATGAGTATGGGATTGAGGGAAAGTTGGTTTTAAATTCACACATTTGGACATTCTCTTTAATAATTTAATATCAGAAAAGTGTTCTTTGCTCATTCTAAATGGTGAAATCATATAATCAGCCAATGGCTATCAGAGTACAGCATTGTTTACAGTCTGATCCTTACATCCAATTTTGACCTAACATTCAAAGTACCATGGTAAACAATATAGGGAGGGAACCACTGAATACATGTGAGAATATAAAACCAACTTGACCTCAATGAGTATCGATGATGATGATGATGATGATGATGAGGGCTGAGCTGAGAGCAGCTGTAAATCTGTGTGGAATGGGCTTACTGTGATTTGAGTTTGAGTGCTCACACACAGCTTTAAGGAGTATTAGTGTACTGTGTGTGTGTGTGTGTGTGTGTCTAATGTTGAGGCGGTAAAGTATGTTTTATATTCGCACATTAGTTTAACGTGTTGTTTATTACACTGCTTTACATATTTACATATTGGGTGTGAAATGGCATGTAAATATGACTTCATAACAACATTAGACGTGTTGGTTAATCTGCATTCATACAGCGTCTTCAAGAAGTCCCAGTGTCTGCAGGAGCCTACTGGAGGTCTGCAATCTGGAAGTTCTATCACAAGTCTGATTTGAGATAAAGCTGTTTTGTCTATAATGTGTTCTTAGGATGAGGGGAGATGGCTAAACCGAGCATGCAAATGAAGTGTTGTTGTCGGCAGGGTAAACTGCCTTTTCAGGTCTGATCTCATCATGTTCTGGAGACAGAAACCGCCTGACCAGTTGACCGAAAAGAGAAAACAAGTGACACAGCCGTGCTGTGAGACTGACACTTTGCATTACTATGGAATATAAATTTATATTCCCTCAATGGTAATGTGATTTACTGCTGTATAATCATTTATTTTTATTTTGTCTTAGTCAAAAACAACAACTTTTTTCCCCAATTAACACAATATATTACATTTTAGGAAACATTTATATTATTTTGGAACCGTAAACATGTCAGGCTACATAATTAAAATAAACCATTGACTTCTACAATCTTTTTTATCTTCAAAAATCTTCAAAACAGATTTCCTTACAACACATAAAAAAACTCTACATATACCTTAGAAACGGTATAAAAAACATTTGTGCGGTTTTAATACCGAGACTTTTCCAGACCGCAGTAAACCTTGTAACCGGTTATCATCTCATGCCTAGAATGCACACAGACTCTGAGGGAATTGTCACCGTAGGGCCCCAAATTAAGTAAATATGCTCATAAATCAGACAGAATGAAGTGTTTAGAGATGTAGAAGTGCAGAGTGTGTGCTGTGAGCGTTGAGTTTAGAGGGAGACGAGAGAATACACACACACTGTACAGAACAAACATCACTACAGCTGTACCGAGATATACGAACGTGTGTGTGTGTGTGTGTTTGTTTGTGTGTGTTTGTTTGTTTGTGTGTGTTTGTTTGTTTGTGTGTGTTTGTGTGTGTTTGTTTGTTTGTTTGTTTGTTTGTGTGTGTGTGTGTGTGTGTGTGTGTGTGTGTGTGTGTGTGTGTGTGTGTGTGTGTGTGTGTGTGTGTGTGTGTGTGTGTGTGTGTGTGTGTGTGTGTGTGTGTGTGTGTGTGTGTGTGTTTTGAACTCTCAGTACTGAGGTTGTGGCTCAGTTCCAGTCATGTGAAAGTGACAGTAACCCTTCACACCGGCCGGCTGTTAATCACCATGACAGTGCACTGTGTAATCAGTCAGTTGTAATTAACCTGCTCTCTGTTCTGTGTTTTCCAGACCTCACTGAACCGTCAGCTATGGACGCCATCATTCGCTGCCCATTCCTGTCCCGCGTCCCGCAGACGTTCCTCCAGCAAGCCAGGAAGTCTCTGGTGGCGTATGCGGTGAAGTGTCCTGTGATGATGGATCTGGCCTCCAGACCCCTGCTGCGCCCGCTCTGCTCCTCTAGCGCCAGCTTCCAGAAGGTGGAAGACTCCTCTGCGGCCGGACATGGTCAGTCACGTGCTGTTATAAGGGAAAAATTGTAGAAACGTCATTATTTAAATATAAAACTGCATGATAAGGCTGCGCAATATATGGTTTCAGCATCGATATCGTGATGTACGAGTCTGCAATAGCCACGTCACAGAATCTCCAATGTTGGGATTATAATTATTCAGAAAGCACCGTTCAGAGCATGTGATTTGGGGAGTTTAACAGTGAAAGAGTTTTATTTGGATGTGTTTTAAAGACCTGTGACTGTGTCATACATGCGTTCACCCCTCACAAATCTCGCATTTAAACTGATCTTGTCTACAGAATGCTTTACAGTAAAATATTTATGCAGATACATTGAATTAGTCTGTGCTGAAGCCAAATCTGGAGCCAAAAAAACAGCCTAAAAATTAGTATCCCAAATTGATATGTTCTTTTTTTGGCTAAATTTTACATGAAATCCAACCTGAAGTTTCACACAGAATTTTAAGACATTTTAAGAATCGATTTGATCAAGTAGTTTTTACCAGATGTCGTATTGGGCATACGAGAATAACACATGGTTTTTTGCTCCAAGGTGAAAACCCTACTCAGTGTTTGTATTGCAAAACTCATCTTACTGTAAAGCATATTTTACTGGACTGTCCTGCTTTTACTGATTCCAGAAGGACTTTTTATGAAATTAACTCTTTTAAGGACATTTTTGACAAAGTAACACCCGAAAAGATTTTAGAATTTTTATCATGTATTAACACAAAAAATCTTATTTAATTTATGTTTTATTTTGTTTGTTGATTTTTAAATTGTATATTTATTGTTGAAAGATTCCTGCCATGAAGATAGCCTTGGTTGCTGACATGGCACTAAATAAAAAATACATTACATTACATTTTGGCTAAATTTAGCGCACATTTAAATGCATTATCTTGATATTTTTAAAGATGTTCAATGACTAAAATATGACTTTAATCAATATGTTAAGTTTTGTTCAAATCTATGAATATATATTGTCGATATTCTTTAAGAGATGTATAAAATATTCCATTTCAAAATAGGGTAAACTCATTTATGCTGATGAATCTCCTCTTTTTTTTTTTTATTTATTTATTTTTTATTCAGAAGCCAGTGATGCTCCTGCAGTGCCCGCTGGTCACCCTGCTCCTGCAGCCGGGCATGCCTCCGCCTCTAAATGCCCGTTTCTGGCAGCAGAGATGAGCCAGAAGAACAGCGGTGTGGTCCGGCAGGCCAGCATGGCTCTCCAGGAGGATGTTTCTGAAGTTCGCACCGTGCAGAAAGGTTTGAGGAGCTGCTTTAACCCCTGAACTGTCACTGCCCGATAGCAGGATGCTTCAGTGTACTGCACTATACTGCAATGAACTCCTAATCTAATCATGACAGGCTATATATCGTTGGAAAGGTCTAAGTCTTCTGAATACATGTTTTTAGCTAGAGTAAGAGAGCACAATCCATTTACTCTTCAACCTATGGGACTGTTTACAGTTGCATTTTAAACCATAATATTATATTCTAAACGTAAAGAAATTGTGTCATTTAAAAGGCTAAAATTCCTTGTTTTCAGATGTTTTGAGAGGCTAAATTGATATCAGGGACCACCAAACTGCACACACTACATTAGAATCTTATGTCTAGTTTACAAATATAGTCAAAAGTATGAAATAATGCAGCTTATAATCCTGAAAACATGCACAGAAATAGGGGAGGCGCTAATATAGAGTCACCAATGAAAACTGTGGTGACCTGTTGGTCATATCTGCTACTGACCAAACTAAATACTGAAATTTCATTTATTTTTTTTAAAGCTTGATTGTTTTACATTAAAGCATTGCTATTTGCTGTCAGTAATTACAGCTTTAAATAATGAATATTGCATTATTTAGTATGCTATTGCATGTCACTAGCCGCATTTCCACTATCGGGCCAGTGCGAGCCAGGGCTTTAATCGGGCCGGGCCGGGCCAATAGCCCGGGAGGTTGAGAAATGAGGCCGAAATCATGTCGCGTTTCCACTGACGGGCTAATAGCTCACAGCGCGTCACGCAAACACCGCCCACAGAACGTCCCCGAATCAAACGTCACACAACCCGCCCACTTCAGATAAAGCACACCATGGAATCATCACGAAACGAAACCATTAAAATGAAGACAACCGAAACAAACAAATGACACGTTACTGTACAGCAGTACATGAAATGTCTATACGCACAGACCTGTGTATTTCCATTCATTACATTTGTTTACTCGCCGACCAACTGGCATTGTTCATCGACTGCTCTCGCCAAACGCAGGGACCCATCACAGAGAGCGCACACATCCATAATATAAAGCCACAGAAATGGCTTATGACTCGATATGGCATGTATTTTATAACATCCTCGTTTTGATAGAAGTCGTGTTAAGTGTTTGAGCATAAGAGCGAGTAGTCTTATAAAATATAGCCATATTTGTTGCGCTCGGCAGCTATTCACTAAAGCTCTTTATTTAAAGTTTCATTTATAAATTTAACCACTTCATATTAAAACATAAACAGTTGTTTGAGTATATAGAACACATTTTGTGTGTGGGCTTTCCCCCAATGCGTTTAAAGCAGCGAGCGCTGCGCAGGACTGGGTGACAGAAAAAAAGGTATAGGCTTCTGCTTTCACTCACCCAGATAATGCTCTGTTTGCACGATTTGAATAATATCATCGCATCCAAATACTTTATAAATAATATTTCAAACCTTCTCCGGTGTTAATTGTTTTTATAAAATATCGAAAATCTTTTTTTTTTCAGACAGGTCTTTGTAAAATGTAAGCTATAGGCTATACTATATGTGGCTTTAAAACGGTTCGATTTATGTATTGTATATAGGCTACCTACATATAGCTAGCTTTTGTTTATTTTATATTGGTTTATTTATTTAATGTGATTTTATATTTATCCGATATTTGTAATTCTTTAAATTATATTTCATTAAAGCTTAGGCTATTTTATCAAGATATGACACTATATTGTTTAAAGTCTACGAAAGTGGGCACGTATTTTGTTAAGTTTTATGTCCTTCTGTTGTATTTATATTGTGTATTATCTCCAAAATAAATAAAGAAAAAAGCCGCTCGCGGCATAACAGAGCTGTGAAGGAGCGCTTTTGCCCGGTCTCACACACACATACAGGCATTAAACGCGCACAAACAAACATTTTAAACTTGACAAAAACTCTCGTAAACCTTTACTGTCTGCTGTGTCTTTATGGTGTAAAGCTTATTATGCGTTATTGAAACATAAAGGAGGACGCAGCAAAAAACGTCACTATAAATTAAAACTACTTTATTATTTTATGCAGCAGCCTTACATTTAAAAGGGAAACATAAGGGTGATCCTACGCAAAAAGACCCCAGACTATAAGGCTAGATGTTTTCTTTCCCTTATTTCTTTATTTGTTTGGCGCATGTACTCATGTGCGATCGGAAAACTGTGCCCGCCTCTTCTTTCACTCCGCCCCGAAGCCCCAGCTGGCCCTCCTTGGCCCAAGGTATTCGGCGGGCCGAAAAAGGCCGGCCGCTGGCCCCAAGAAAGCCCCGCTTTGGCCCGATTAGGCCCCGGAAGTGACAGTGGAAACCCCACTGGCCTTGGCTCGCCCTGGCTCGCTCGCTTTAGGCGCGATAGTGGAAACGCGGCTACTGTTTTCTTCAATATTCAACATGTATAATGTGTAGTGTTTAGTCAGTTTACATGGTTTGGTGTGTATGCAGATATTGTATAGGGATTGCTCAAAATGGCACAGGGGTAAATGTAGTATTTATTAGCATGAACTGCTGTATTTCTCTGCTGTGGGTTGCTTTTAATCTCTTGGACTGATTGTCTGTCCAGACGTCTCTGCATCGGCGCTCACTCCTCTGAAGGACGGCATGAATGGAGGAAACCTGATGAAGAAGCTGATGAAGCAGCGTCCCGCTCACGTCTCTCACCTGCTGCAGGACAACATGCCCAAAAGTGCGTCTGTTCGCCCTCTCTGAGGCCCAACTAATGCTGTTGAAGTCATGTGTTATGCACTAATGCGTTTCAGTGTTAGAAGGCACAACTTCTGCTGTTAGTGAATGTCGTTAGCAAGCGTAATAGTTTAATGAAAATACACAAAATGAGAGTAAAGCTCATTCTTCAGTTAATTTTTCCCCTCTACATCAGAGCTAGATTGTGCCCTACTAAGCAAAATAATCTGCCAGTGGAGTAAGCAAAATAATGTCATTTCAAAGCAGAATAAAAGCACCCCATTGGCAGATTATTCAGCTTGTTTTAAGCTCAACTCACTTAATTTTGACTCCTTATTTCTAAAAACAAGACCATATTTAGAGTAGATATTTAGAGTAAAAACAAGACAAAAGCAGCAAGAAAAGCAGTGCATTTGACACACACGGTTGTTCTCTTTCAGATGTGTCCAGCTTTCGTTATGATGAGTTCTTTGAGAAGAAGATCGAGGAGAAGAAGAGCGATCATACGTACCGCGTCTTTAAAACGGTGAACCGCAGAGCCACAGAGTTCCCCATGGCGGACGACTACACCGAGTCTTTATCCTTCAAGAGGAACGTGTCTGTGTGGTGCAGTAATGACTATCTGGGCATGAGCCGCCACCCGCGCGTCGTCCAGACCATCATGTGAGTCAAATCCGGCTTTATTGTCTGTCTTCTACATGTGTGGACATACAGGAGAACTAGATGTGGGGTCTCACAGGAGCACACTGCCACACTAATAAACAGAATCATAATCTAACTACTCAACCATGCATATCTAGTCATTAGTCATATATTGTTCATTTAATTGCAGTGTTTACATTCTGCTTCTTCAGATTCTGTACGTTCAGACTGCAGTAAATGCTGACCGTTGTCTCTGTTTTGCTCTTGACAGGGACACTTTAGGAAAGCATGGCTCTGGAGCCGGAGGGACCAGGAATATTTCGGGCACCAGTAAGTTTCATGTGGATCTGGAGCACGAGCTGGCGGATCTCCACGGGAAAGACGCCGCTCTGCTCTTCACCTCCTGCTTTGTGGCTAATGACTCTACGCTCTTCACCCTCGCCAAGATGATGCCGGGTCAGTGCTGTACACCTTTATATACATCTTCAGTATTATACACAGCTTTTAATTAGAGTATTTTTGTAGAAATTAATGCAAATAAAAGGGTTATTTTTGTTGTGAAGTGCTTTAAAATACACAGCATAGAATTTGTTATCTGAAAAAGGATGCATGATACAGCTGAAGTTTTTTTTTTTTTTTTTCTTCCTTAAATATTTCCCAAATGATGTTTCTCAGATTGAGGAAATGTTGACAGTATGTCTGATAATATTTGTTCTTCTGGAGAAAGTCTTATTTGTTTTATTTCAGCTAGAATAAAAGCAGTTTTTAATTTTTTTATAACCTGTTTAAGGTCAATATTATTAGCCCCTTTAGGCTATGTATTTTTTCAATAGTTTATAGAACAAACCACTGTTATACAATAACTTACCTAATTACCCTAACCTGCCTCATTAACCTGAAGTGTCTTGAAGAATATCTAGTCTCATATTATGTGCTGTCATCATGGAGAAGATAAAATAAATCAGTCATTAACACTATTATGATTAGAAATGTGTTGAAAAAAATCTGCTCTCCGTTAAACAGAAATTGGGTAAAAAATAAACAGGGAACTAATAATTCTGACGTCAACTGTATATCTGACGCAACACTGAAATGCTTTTCTTAGAGTTTTTGTCTTGTTTCTACTTCCAATATGTAAACATTCTTAAAGCAAGAAGCACTTTCTAGACCAGCAAAGATCATAGTCTTGTGGTCAGAAATAAGAAGTTCAAATGAACACCTTAAAATAATCTTGTTTTTGGTTTGAAATCAGATTATTTTGCGTGCACCACTGGCAGATTATTGAGAAACTCACTAAATCCTTACTCGTTATATCTGAATGCAAGTGATTATTTACTCGTCTAGAAAATGCTTCTTGATTTCACTGTACAGTTTCACTTTCACTGTAAATGAAGTACTGTCAGGTTGTATTTTAATGCATAATGAGTCATGATTGGAGTCAGACAGAATCTGCGGGATATTTGAGCTATTTCTGTGCAGAATTTTGTAAATAATCTGTGGAATTATGCTGAATTATTTTAGGAGTATTGCAACTAAAAACTTAATCTGTGAAATTCAAAAATAAAATCTTTTTAACTTGATGTTTACTATGCACATGCAATAAGATCAACTTTAATTGATGAACAAAGCAAGAGTCTTGTATAATATCTCTACTAAAAGACAAGAAAAATATAAGTTTACCAACTGCACTGTAAATAAATCATATAAGCATTTTCATATTTGTCAATAATATTACTGAATTATTCAAAAAAACTGAATAAATGTTAATTTACACACAATTACACAAGTAAATAAACTCAGCGGAGATCTTCACACGCAGATTCTGTGTGGGCCTAGTCATGATGTATGCATATGATATTTAGATCGTCAAGATAAGTTCAGATTTAACCAAAAAAGGTATTAAATATGTGTTGAAGATGGATATTTAAACATTAATACACGAGTTTAAATGATTTAACAGATGTATACTATTTTAGTTGGAAAACAGAGTATGAAATGCTGTAATAACAAGTGTATTACTCTGTTAGTTAAAGCGTAATGTGGAATAAGCTAGTGGTTTCTTATCTCTCTCTCTCTTTCTGTGTGTGTGTGTGTGTGTGGGTTCGCTCGCTCGCTCAGGTTGTGAGATCTATTCAGACGCAGGCAATCACGCCTCAATGATTCAGGGCATCAGGAACAGCGGCGCCAAGAAGTTTATCTTCCGTCACAACGACGCCAAACATCTACGAGAGCTTCTGGAGAAATCCGATCCGTCCACTCCCAAGATTGTGGCCTTTGAGACGGTGCACTCCATGGACGGTCAGTGAGACGCAGAGAAAAACACCTCCATTTACTACAGGAGAACAAATGCCACAGTGCTTCACACTCCTCACAGCAGTGTCTGAGCAGAAGCTGAGGCTTGTGTTGTCTTTAGTTTCTCGTTGACACTCTGATCTGCTCACTGATGATTTGTGCTGTGTTTGTATGTAAAGCTGACTCTCGTGTGTGTGTGTGTGTGTGTGTGTGTGTGTGTGTGTGTGTGTGTGTGTGTGTGTGTGTGTGTGTGTACAGGCGCAGTGTGTCCACTGGAGCAGCTGTGTGATGTGGCTCATGAGTTCGGCGCGGTCACCTTCGTGGATGAGGTGCATGCGGTGGGTCTGTACGGGCCCCGCGGTGGCGGCATCGGCGATCGGGACTCGGTCATGCACAAGATGGACATCATCTCGGGCACTCTGGGTCAGTCTGAGCTCCTCACTGTTGCTCGGCAACCAGCGCTGTTGTTTTCCTCATT